TTAGTGACATGTTGAACAGATACCACACCACTGCTGTGTGTAATCACAAGAGGTGGTATCATGCCACCATTAACATTTATTAGTGGCACAACATTGGTGGTGTGGGGGTTGCACGCCACCAACGTGGTTTTGGCACGTCACCAGTAGCATTTTTTGTACTAGTGTTTATAATCGGTAGTCACTGTTACACAAGTTTGACTACATGCTTTCTAGAGTCTCACCTTTTATAAACAGATGTAGCATTAGTTTTATCTATTTTTCTTTAGACCTAGCAAAGGTATCCCCCATTCTTGAGTTTAGCTGTTCTATGATATCGCTCACATGTGTTTGTTGTGCCGTGTAGTGTGAGTACACATACCTAGACCACATTATTCTGACCTATTAAACAACAATCAATCTTCAAAAATTGTAATCCTACAACAACCTATAATATTCCTAAGATTTATAATCCTACAAAGCAAACAATCTATATAGATTTTTTCAACAATTATAATCTTACAATGTTCTTTCAAAAATTATTAAGTAATAATTCTTGTAGATCTATGTTAACATTGAAGATAAACCTCGTTGTATTGATCATTCTGAATTGAAGTCTTGGTTGAAAAAATATTTGTGGGTCGATTGTACATGGCCTTAGATCAGTATGTGCCATTAAAGTTTGGAACATGTCTCTGTCGAGTGATCACCTATACTAAGTTGGTGGGTTGGTCATACATTATATCATGTTAGTACACCCTATCAATGGATTTGAATAATCTCACGTTCGTTTGTTTATGTCATGAAACCATAAGAAAGGAGCAAGTGAAGTATCTAGAAGTGCTTGCTTTGTCGCACACAAAAAAAAGTTCTTCACGGGAAAGCCAACTGAAAGATTCAATTTGGACGTCGTAGAAAAGGTTATGTTGTTATCTACATAGGGCTGCCCCATGAACCTTTCCTAGGGTACTAAGGATTTTGTTTTAGGGACAAACAACGGTGTTCCGGATCAATACTTTTGTTGTGACATGCTAAGTTTTCTCCCCTATATATAGCCAGTACATTGATGGGTCTCACACGCCGCACACATGTTTTGCCCTTCCTAAACTCATAAGGGAAAGGCGTGTAATTGAGTTCGTGCACGGCCTTATAAGAATTCGAAAATTAGATTACCAATTTGAGATAAATTTATATAGACCAAGCCTTTTAGTAGTTTCTAAAATAAACATCTTTGCAACATTACATATAAGAAGATGCAACTCCCTACTATACATATCTCAATCCAGCTGCAGATAATTTAAATATGTAGCAATTCAAGTAAATAGATGATTTTGTTTTACTTTGGCATGTTAGATGGATGACTGTTGTATGTGTCTGACCAAGTTTTATGTAAGTTTTTTCTTTGTTATCTTAGTCCTTAAAATCAAAGATTAATGACGTAGATATTTTAGGCTATGTGGCTCAACCTAATTGCTCGAAAAATATACGTATATTTAAAATCAAGCCCATTTCATCCTTGGAAATGTTAATAAAACACTATTAATAATATTATTAATAATAAATTATATATATAATATTACCTCCGCCCCAAATTAGTTGTTTTAGATTTGTCTAGATATGAATGTATGTAACACTAAAACGTGTGAAGATACATCCGTATCTAGAAAAATCTAAGACAATTAATTCGCGAGAAAAGGAGTAGATAGGTAGCAAAAGTTAGAATTTTTTTACTACTTACTACTTTATATAGTCATCCCCATTTTATTCTTGGAAATAAGAATAATACGTTATTAATAACATTAATAATAATAAATTATATATATGTTAATAGATATAGGTATTAATGGAAATAATAGCAGCATTATTTTACAGCTCCTAACCCCGTCTATATATATGCTTCAAAACGGAGATGGCGTACGTGTAATCTAGTTTTCACTGTAGGCGTGCAGGGAAATAGTCAGGATCCTCGTCGTCGCTGCAGGGGAACAGTGAGGTGCCTCCCCATCGTCGAGCGAAGAGCAGTGCGTACGTCTGTTGAAGAATGGTGGTAAGTCGTCGTTCCAAACTCCTTTTTGTTTTTGTATTGATGCATCGAGTAATGATCAATTAGACATGATGGAGTTTATTTCTTATTTTCTCTCTTGACATGATGGATAATTGCCTGTTGGCTCCCGCCAATTGTTCCTAGAATGCATGCTGAGTTGGGAGGATTGGCTTTCGCTAGTGATGTTCTTCCCTAATTAAAAAATGTTATTCATTAGATCTGTCATCACAACATTATAAACTGGGCTCTCACTTGCTCAATTTAACATGAGGAAAAACTCTTACTATGTTTCCGCGTCACTTTTCTCAGTTTAAGGAAAATCATGTGTTCTACGTGTCCCATTTCCATGTGACCACTCGAGTATCGCCTGCTCATGGGTGGTCTACCCCTCAAAGTAGTGGGGAAGAGATAGTCCATATTCGACGCAAAACATCATATTATTCCTAGTATCACACTTTTCTGGCCAAGATACCACTCAAGTATCACCACATCTAACAAGAGGGGACTTTTCATTGTTATGCGCTTCGGACGACCAAGTTCTGCAACATGCTCGTGTACTGCAGGTAGCTATGTGGCATGAGTTATGCCGCTACCAAGAGAAACTTAATAATACATAATGTTTCTAGCTAGAACAACTCAAGATCAATCAAACATGACTGTATGGCCAAGGAACACTCGATTGTTGTCATGCTGGGAAGGGACTTTTCATCTCCATAAACTCCGGACGACCAGGTTCCATAGGACGCTCATAAACCTCTTGTAGCTATGTGCCTTAAAGTACATCTCTACCAAGGGTAAAGTACTGATTTAGCAAGTTGCTAGATAGACTCGCTCAAGACCAATCAAACATTAAGTAGTATACATCTTTCTTCTTGCTAACAGTGAGTGTATGTCTTATTTTGTCAATGGCTGATGAAATTGATTAGAAAGTAAGACTTCACATAATTAGTTCTCATGTATGGTCATCACCTTAGACACATCTCAGCAATGACACGTGTATATGAACCTTTTTAACCACAAAAGGTTTGCTTTCCATTTGGGTTGTAGATTGTATCTTGATTTTTTTGATTTCCTAAAAGAGTTTTGGTCTAACAGTTTTTCTAGGAAGAAGACAGAAAATAAAAGAAAGAATAAAATATGAAAGAAAAGCAACTCTTGAATGGATATTGAAAAGAAATGTAGCCCCAGTTCCTTTGGAAATGGTAAGATCTTTGGCGCAAGAAGAAGGGGCGACCCATATCATCTTGACTTGGTTCTGCTTCCCCTCTTTTTTGGGCATGATCCCTATCTTCTACCTTGTAATCTACATGAAATGGAGATTGCATCATGTATGCCCAAAATAAGGCTTACGGCTTTGTTATCATGTTTCCATGTGAGGATGGTAAGATAGTGAAACATGGTGTAATAGTTTTTTAGTGAGTGTTGCTTTTCTTGCTCGTACACAATAGAAAAATCATTGGAGGACAAAATTATGTGTAGTAGGGTATTTGATACCCATGTTTTACTCGCTTAACTGTGGAAGTACGATTTGCTTTTCTCATGGTTTGCCTTCAATATTTATTGATGTGTGCTTAACTAATATCACAGGATTGGAGGAACGGTAATGATGACCATGATAAGGGGAAAAGTATTGTTGAGCCTGAACCCTCATGGTCTCCGTACTTTAGGAACTTAGATGCTCCTGGCTCGTCCATACTGGTACCTCAGGTAGTAACTGATTTTGTATTTAAATACAAGAGCTAGCCATGACCTGTTGTTATTAAGATCGTGGTGTGATATCTGCATGGGAATAAAGAAAAAAAGGAAAGATATAATGTTTGCTATTGTTATGTCCAATTGTGTTTCTGAGTCAAATAAAATGGGCCCACGGTTGACTTAGTTGTAGTTACGATGATCCAATGGTTATGCTTTGTTGATTGAAGTAGGGTAGTATATTAATGGCCTGATTTTTTTCTTTCATGCCTGATTTTCTAGCATGGCTATCTTTTCTCCAGTTAACCTATCAAGTGGTTTTAGTACATAATAGATCCAAAATGGTTGACTATGTGCTGCCCATGATGACCGGAACTCCTTTGAACAAACATGGAAAGTAACACGTCAATAGTCTTTAATAAGGAATTATGCGCTTTAGTTTATGTCTATATCATCCATATTTCTTACTTATCTGGCACTTCACCTCATGCATTTGAGTTATATATTAATTTAGACTGCAGATTACCTTCCTTATCCATTGGTGCAAGCATCATCAAGTTGTAGTGCACTATTGCATATTTGGTTAGTAATCACACTCTAGGTGATAATATGCAAACTTGGTTAACCTGATCATCTTTTTGGAATTACCAACCTATCATGCCCCTCCCATAAAATAGCCATGTTACGCATAATGTGTTCAACTAGATAGAGAACTATCATTCCTAGAAATCGAGCACACTTCATTTAGTTAGGCATCCTTATAACTTCAAGCTATGCTATTTCTAATTTTATTGGTGCATATTTTTACCACTTTTCGCTTATTGTCTTGATTCGACAATGCTGGAGGGGATTTTTTCCAATAGAAAATATGGTCTTTTCTTCTTGATTTTTATGTGTTCTAAACTCTAAATCGAATTGCTATACTAGTTTCATGCTAGAGATTTCAATTGTGATATCTTGCGATTCATGTGATAATGCATGATAGAATTATTGTTCTTCTCTGCAACTGCTTTGCTCATGGTTTGCTTTCAACATTGATTCATGTCTGCTTAACTAAGAGGTGCGATTGTGATGATCCGAAGTTGAGGAACTTAGATGCTCCTTGCCCATCCTCGCTGGTACGTCATGTAGTAATTGATTGTATATTTAAGTACAAGAGCTAGCCATGCCTTGTTGTCATTAATTAAGATCCTAGTGTGATGTTTGTTTGTCCAACTATCTAAAGGGTTCTAATGGATGGGCTAATGGGGAAGCGTCATCTACTACTTTAATCGAGAGATATGTGGCAATGGGTTTTCAAACGGAAATGGTCGTGATGAGCATCAAGGAGATTGGTAATACTGAAAGTAACCAATTTCATTTCATTTTTCTTCTTTGTGTTTGCACCGTCTGTCTAATCGAGGCTTTTGGTTTTTCTTTCAGGGCATAGTGACGAAAATGCATTGCTTGAACTACTGTTAACGTACAAGGTACGTGTCCATGGATGTTATTACTAACTTTATCCAATGATGCCCTTTCTACATGATAGCAAGGATCATATGTTAGGATTGGTGATGACAAATGCAGGCACTAGGTGATGAAGATGCATTGGGTAACTGCTCTACTTCTGGCTGCGCCCCCTTTAGAGTTAAACATGGTGATGATATTGATTTTGAGAGCTCAGATGGTGATGACGATGCTGGTGATACACAGCCCAACTACGGTGATTATGGTGATGAGGTAGATGATTCATTGTCTTTAGTTCAGTAGCTAAGAATTCTTTGACCATATGTATGATGATATGTGAATTCTTTGCCATGCATACCTTGCACACCCCTTTATGTATTGTTTGAGCTTTGTTTGTTTTGCTCCTAGCTTTTCGTGATAGTAGAGTTGCGTTGTTAAGTTTGAGCACCTGATTTTTTTTACATAAAATTCTCATCATGTTAAAGTTTTACCGTGTACGAGTTAATATAGGATGTGAGATTGACTACCGTTAGACCAATGCCTTCTTCAAAGTAATCAAACAGTCTGAGAAGGAGTAGAAACTGAGTATATTGTTGTGTTGCTTGCTTCTAATTTTGATGAATTAGAAAATTTATTTCTGCTATAAACCAATATTTTTTTCTTCAGTTCCAATGTATTTCAATATTAGTCACAAGACATATGACTTGAGGAGTTATGATGCTACGAGAAAATCATACTGCAGGTGGTGTAAACAAGAGAAGATATACACATGCCAAATGAGCTTTAACTTGAAGAAATCAAATTTTACACAACAACTATGCCCTTTGATTTATTTTGTAGTGCAAGATACAGTGTAAAATCGGACTGAGCAGAGAAGAGTTCATAAGAAGTATAAGCTAAACTTGAATGCTGAATACTAAATAAAGAAGCAGGAATATATATAGGTTGGCCTAAATAATTCTGTCGTAAAGTTGTGCTGTGACCCAGCTCATCACTTTTCCGTAGAATCAAAGGAGGTTGGGAACTAGCATGTGGGTTAGGACAAGGTATTCTTCTTTTGACTTTCAGTTACACAAATTAAAATAATACTAGAGAACATCACATATATACTGCACTAGTTGCATCAAAGTTCCCACCAAGACAAATCTCAAGATCAACACATACCTGTTAGCTGCGAAAAATGAGGGTGTCAATACCTAGATGTTCAGAGAGAAATGGATAAATTAAGTCACTAATTTAGAAATCTCAGAATGTACTATATGAAATGACAGCTGAATTTCGTATTAGTTACGCAAATAAAATTTGTAAAAAGAATATTGTATGGTCCATCCTATTCATGGCGAGATATATGTAATAACAAGTAGGGAAAGTGTAGAGTGTTTGTTGTTTATTACACCTGCTTGGGAAAAAAGATATATCTTGATTTCTAGTAAGCGATGAACCTGAAATAGGATGGATGGGCACACCATCATGTTCTCCTGAAGACACATACATTTACCTCATCATCCATCGATCTGTCTTTAACTTTCTGTCATGAAAGCAGCATGAAGAGACCAGAGAACTGTGTTTCACCACTATTATGCAATATGCATCCTGCACATAGTGCCATTATGTGAAACAACAAAGTTAGACTATGCACCTTTAGTTTATTCCAGTCCAGAACTTCATATTGCTAGTGTAGGCAGTAGTTTCAAGCGTAAAATGATGTGCATTCGTGTTCATGCAAATAGTAACTCTTTTATTAACATGACTTTCAAGCAGCAGCGGAGAATAAGAAATTGAGTTTCTAAATTATTTCATTGATTTATCCTGATCACCTTTTTTCTTGTTTCTTGGGTAGTCTGTGATATACATTTCTTGATCATTTATTAGTTTTAGGGCCCCATTCTTTTCCCTGGCCTCATATGTGTTTCTATGCAGTGGTATTTCCTTATCAACGTTCACTTAGATGGCATTAAAAAGTCAGTAACATATAGAAAACGTTTTCTAATCTTAGTTTTTCTTATCCTTTTGTGCAGAGTTTTATACGGAACATATCAGAGAAGGACAAGAAGATCAACTCATTAGTAGATATGGGCTTTCCTGAAAACGAAGCAAATATGGCTATTACAAGATGTGGTATGACTCTTTTTTAAATTATTGCCATGATGTTCATTTTCCCATGGAAAAGGCGCTTTATGATATATTTCTGCGTAAATTATCCTAGGTGTGGATGTTGATCTCTCTGTATTGGTTGATTCGATTAGTGCGTCACTGGCTGCAGGAGATTTTGACTTATCTCATCAGGTACATTGTGGTCTGATGTACATTTGAATAGGAAAATGCTTTATCTTTCTGATTTAATTTGATGTAAGGACACTGCAACATGTGTACATTTCGCAGGTTACGAATAGACGCTCTGACTCCTTTGGAGGGACAACGAAAATAAGATTGATAGAAGATAGAAAGAAAAAGAGGAAACGGTATGGAGGTACAGCACATGGCAATCAAATCTTCTTGGATGGCAGCCATTATGAACATATGCCTCCCCCAAATCCAATGGTTGGATTTAGCCTGCCCAATTGTAGCCAACTACCAGTGGACAGAAAAATTCCTAAAAAAGCTATCGGGCGACCTTTTTTCTACTATGAAAATGTGGCCCAAGCTCCCACAGGTGTATGGGCGACCATTTCAAGATGTCTGTATGGCATTCAACCTGAGTATCTGGACTCAAAGCATTTGTGTGCAGCTGCAAGGAAAAGAGGCTACATCCACAATTTGCCGATTGAGAACAGAGCACCTCTTCTTCCTCTGCCTCCAAAGACGATACTTGAGGCATTCCCTCGGTACAAGAAGTGGTGGCCTTCCTGGGACACAAGAACGCAGTTCAACTGCTTGCGAACAAGTATGGCATGTCAACAGCTGACAGGAAGCATTGGTGCTCTTGCAAGAACAGGGAATCCACCGCCTCGAAATATTCAAAAAGATATGATCAAACAGTGCAAAGAGTACAATCTTGTCTGGATAGGAAAGAACAAGGTTGCTGCATTGGAGCCTGAAGAGATTGAATATCTACTAGGTTTCCCGAAGGACCACACAAGGGGACTCGCCAGCACAAATAGGTACAAATCTCTCGGCAACTCGTTTCAAGTTGATACCGTTGCTTACCACTTGTCAGTACTGAGGGGCATGTTTCCCAATGGAGTTACTGTGTTGTCCTTATTCACTGGTATTGGAGGAGGAGAGGTAGCTTTGCACAGATTGGGAATCCACATGAAGACAGTGGTTTCTGTTGAGATAGACAAAGCCAGTAAGAGGATTTTCAGGCATTGGTGGGATCAGACTCAAACAGGCACGCTGATTGAGTTTGATGACGTGAAATCTCTTACTGATGCTACAGTTGCATCACTGGTTACTAGATTTGGCGGTTTCGACTTGGTGATTGGGGGCAGCCCATGTAACAATCTTGCCGGGTGCAACAGATACAGCCGTGATGGCTTGGAAGGCAAGGAATCTGTTTTGTTCTACCAGTACCCCAGAATCTTGGAGGCCGTCAAGGAAGCTATGGCGAGGATGTAGCCTAATCATTGCAATACGTATTGTATCATTTAATGCTTTATATCTTGTGTTTAAACATTGAGTTGATGTGATGTGGAGGGGTTTTATTTGAGAGAAATGTCATATTGACATTTAGCCAGATCATGTTTATGGTTGCTAAGTGATTTATATCTTGCTCATGTTTATTTGGGAAAATACTATTCTTGGTCCCCTCAACTATTTCAGAGCCTAATTTTGTACAGGCAGGGAGTACATTTAGTTTTACGTATTCCCTTCTTTCTAGTTTGTAGAAAAATGCCTTAGTGCTGGTTGCTCCAAATTCTGTAAATTCTGTTCAGCGGGCTCTTTTCGCCAACAGAATTTGTACATATGAGCATACCTTAGTGCTGGTTGCTCCAAATTCTGCCAACAGTGAGTCTCCCTCTCTTCTGATATTCACTCAGATTTGTTAGATGTGTGCGATACTCACTGTTTCATTAGGTCAGAGGCTTGTGTCTATCTATTGATGGAAGAGTCATTCAAGTTCTGAACTGCACTTTGATTTATTTGCAAACATGTCTCTCGGATGCATTCCGCGCGTAGAGGTAGCAGAATAAACAGATTATTTTCTTCATTTTTGCGTACGCTACATCTGAACATAATTTTGCTAGCTACGGAGCGGAGTTTCTGTTGCTGACATATATCTTGGAGACTACATCCAGAGGCAGTCGATGATTTAAGACGCGTAAATTCAGGCTTTCCTATCTCCACTGTAATGTTCTGCATTTTATCTTCAGATTGTATTCTGAATCAGTCGAAACAAAATATTTTGCCGTGCGTTGCTTTTCCTCCTCGTTGGAAGCCTCCTGATCCTCGTTGCTTTCCATGATTGCCTCCCAAATATGTCGTAGGACGAACCATGATTTGCCTCCCAAATCAGCACAACAATGAACCTGGAAGTTGCATTGCTGCCCCTCCTGTTTGGAAGCCTCCTGATCCTCCTTGCTTTGACCGCTGAAGCTTCGGCCTTGCTGTGAGTGAGTATGAAGATGAGCCATGCCATCATGTATTATTATGCCTATTCTCCAGCAAATGGATGATCGGTTGGTTCTCTTTTATATTATTTTCTTCTAAAAAAGAGGTTCCCATATGGCAGCTCATATTACCGCAAAACTTGCTTCTCAAACGGAAGACTTGCCCCTGCTTATTAACAAATTCAAACTGATCCAGACTATTAGGATCCTTTCTGGGTTCTGTTTTATTCATGTAAGATTGCATCCAACAGGGCTGTAAGTCTGTAACCATGTTGATTTGACAATATAAGCTCGTTGCTCTCAAAAACCATAATTTACTCCATGGCTGCTGCTGCTGCTGGGAGCCATTGCAGCATTGTGCAACCGCCTCGCTGCGACAGGCGGCCGTGTCGGGCGATAAGGCCATGCTAAGTTATGTAGTTCAAAGAGGCAACATCAAGTCTGAAAAGATACGAACTGAATATACCACTTAAAAGTCGAAGTTTCCACACAACATTGTCGACACTACAGAGCTAAGTCAGAGAAACTCAGGATACAGTGACTCCATCAAACTGATGCTCTCTCATACACAAATCAGGACACCACCCGGCCTTCTGGATACTGGACTACAGGTGCGAAACAAAACGCAAGAAAAGCTTAGAGACAGACTTGCTGGTCTGTGGTTCCGCCTAGGAGAGCAAGGAAACCAGCGAGACAAACTCCAAGATCGCCCTGCCCTTCCATTTCGTGTTGATGACGAAGTGCTCTGGGTGCTTCCTGAGCAGCTCCAGCAGCCCGAACCACGGCCTCCCCTTGGCTATAATCGGCGACCAGTCCTCCCAGGTCAGGTACTTCCGCACCCTGGTGTGGTGCCACACGTTGCCAAACCGGTCCACAAGCTGTGAGTAGACAAACAAGTAAGACTTTGCATGTACAATGATTGTAACTATGTGTAAAAATAGTCCGCTCATGATTCATTGCTATGCTTTTACATAAGAAAACCAGTTTGCGAAGGAAGCCTGAATTTACATAAGAAAGCACGATTAATCAATTTAAAAGCGAAGCTTTCCAGATAGTTACCAGAGGATATACTTGCAAGTCTTTCCCACTAGTTGTAGAAGAAAAATGTCAATATCAGTAGAAAATTGTCCGTAGCGAGTCATGGCTCCACAAAAACGAAGCAACAAGATTCAGCACAAAACATGTTTGGAGTGACAAGTGAAGGATGCTAGCAAGCAGAGCCATGCATTAACAGGCTTAAAGCCTAAGAGCCTAAAATTAACTGCCTTCATGGATTTATATGTAGTTTTGACAAGTTATAGTACATACACCTCTCTCGAAATAGGCTTTCGCCCAGCTTTATATATATATAACCCAAACAGCCAAACTCATACAAAGTGGTAAGAAACCATCATACAAGCACGTCAAAAGAAAAATAATATGGCACCTGACCAAGAGCACAAGTGTACCTTACCCAACTTTGAGCATGAAAACAGGAGACGCGGCATCTAACAAGAGACAACCAAGACTACTGAATAGGACCGGGGCCTCACCACTTTGAGAAACCACCTTACACCAGAGTACCGAGCACACCGAGCCATCTATGGAAAGGGCCGACTCGCCGTTGAGATAGCAAGGACTTAGAACAGCGGAAAGTAGTGGCTACTCTCGGGTGTAGTACACCCGAGTTAGCAAAAGATTGAAAAAATGTGATCAAACATTGTCCAAAAAATCTAAACTTTTGGGACATAAAACATTATCAGATGTGTGAGGTCCTTGCAAAATTTCATCTAAATATAACATCTGAGGAGCTCTCACCAAAAATAACAAAATCACTGCTCAAACAGTGCACAAAACTTTCAGCAGCGATTTTGTTTTTTTCGGTGAGAGCTCCTCGGATGTTATTTTTCGATGAAACTTGACAAGAACCTCAAACATATGATAAAGTTTGATGTAGCAAAATTTCAGATTTTTTGGATTTCGTTTGATAAACTTTTTTCAAAGTTTTTGCTAACTCGGGTGTAGTACACCCGAGAGTAGAAAATCCAGTCTCGAAAAACAGATACCATGGAGACACTATAAATGACAGGAGATCACTAGACCATGCCACACCAGAGTCGAGGATACTAAAGTCCTCGATAAAAGAGCTGCCCGCCCGGCTGCCGCGTGGTGGTGGCGCTGACGAGCAAGAGGAGGGTCGCATTTTTTTTCAATCCTCCACCGAAACCTTCCACATCATACTACATACACCTACAGGCTACAACTAAGCTATATTAGACAGGTAGGGATGCTAGCACCTGACTTCCATCGGCAGATGATATTCTCAGAATGCAGTTTGCATTATTATTCTTTTGAATCAGGAAGACTTTTTTTAGTGTCATAAATTGTGATGATATTCTATATCATAATTTAAACTGTAATGGTATGGTCCATCCCATCAATGTATAAACACAGTAAACTACTTTCAGTATATTTAACTTTTCCAAGCCAGAGCAAGACTAATTAGGTTAGGCGTACTTTAGCTTCAGTATAGAAGTTGGATAGGAAATATGTGTGTTTTTCCATGACAAACCTCTGTGTGGAGTTTTCTCATAGGCATATATTGTCCAGGACCACATAGGTCAGATAACACAGTCGCAACAGATGACACGACTTCCTTCTCTTCCAATTGAACGATGTGCTGGTTGTCCACATCCCCGTCACCCCTCAGCCTTATTTCTGGTCTGTTGTCTGCACACACAAAAAGAAGCAATTTCAGGTCAGATCAAGCAAATATTTCCCTACGCATGGTAAAAGATAATGAGTTTGGTCTTTCACTGGACAAAACTCCAAAGAAACAGAATGCAGCAATAGCTTTTGAAATTGAAGGTCCATAGCTAGAAGTCTGGAAACAAGAACAAAGTTCACAAACAGCTTCTAAAACTTGCATCATACCATTTACTAATTCATACTCCCTCCGTCCCATAATATAAGAACGTTTTTTACATTATGCTAGTGCAAAAAACACTCTTATATTATGGGACGGAGGGAGTAATTCTTAATAGTATGTCTGCTGCTTTAGTGATACAAATACCATAGATAATGTACTTAATTTATCCCTAGAAAGTAAGATTGGAAGATGTCAGACATTCAGATTGAAGTATCTTGGTGTGCATCTTTCGATGTGTGAATATAACTGCATCTCTGCTACTTTTTTTCTCCTATAAAAGGTAAAAACATAAGAGATGAAGTCTGTAACTCAGGTCGAGAGGACTCGCGCTAGGGTTCCCCCGCTCCCCTCCCGCCGCCGCCGCCCCTCCCGCCGCCGCCGGCCGTCGGCCCCGCCCCCCCGCCTCCGCCCCCTTCCGCCCTACCCCCCCTCCGTCTTGGCCGCCTCGCGCCGCCTCCCCGGGAGGTGGCCGGGGCGGAGCTCACGCCCCTCGCCCGCGGGACCCCGCCCTCCCCATCTCCCCCCGCCGCCGTCGGCGGGCGCCCCCGGCGCTGGCCCGGGTGGTGCCGGCGGCGGCG